CTGCTGAAATAAGCAGGGATGTCCCTGAAAAAGACATCTCTTAAATGGCAGCATATTTTGTTCCAAAACCTGGATGTACGTTTCAGTATTAATGGTGCCTTCACAGATGTACACGTTACCCACGTCATGGGCACTAACACCCCCCCATACCATCACAGATTCTGGCTTTTGAACTGATAACAATCTGGACGATCCTTTTCCTTTTTAGCCTGAAGGACACGACGTTCATGATTTCCAAAAACAATTTGAAGTGGACTCGTCAGACCACAACACACTTTGCCACTTTGCATCAGTCCATCTCAGATGAGCTCGAGTCCAGAGAAGCCTGCAGTGTTTCTGGGTGTTGTTGAAGTATGGCTTTCGCTTTGCATGGTAGAGTTTTTACTTGCACTTGTAGATGTTGCGATGAACTGTGTTAACTCACAATGGTTTGTCGAAGTGTTCCTGAGCCCACGTGGTAATACCCTTTACAGAATGACGTCTGTTTTTAATGCAGTGCCGTCTGAGGGATCAAAGGTCATGGGCATTCAGTGTTGGTTTACAGCCTTGTTGCTTAGGTGCAGAGATTTCTCTGGATTCTCTGAAACTGGATTCTTCTTTGAGGATATTATGGACTGTAGATGATGAAATACTTAAATTCCTTGCAATTGTATGTTGAAAAATGTTGTTCTTAAACTGTTGGCTGAAAAAACTTAGAAAAATCAACTGGTCAAAGAAATTTCACCTCTCATCCAAGAGGCTTCATCAGTTCTGTCCGACTGGCATTGAGTCAGAGATATTTATCCCCCTCAGTGGTGTTTCAATCCTTTGAAGGCCAACAATGTCCCCTAACGACTGAGTCATTATAGCCCAGTATCGGTGAGCATCGTTACCTGTCTTTGAATCCTCCCCTGTGGACCAACGCCTATTGTCCTGGTGGGCATATTTGGGCAGAGATCTCAAAACAGGATTGTAGATGGATGACAAGTTGTGTCTTAGTCCACCACCGCTATTTAGTGAGGGGTGTTCTATTAGGACAAAAATAGCTTCCTTAACACCTCTCTCAAACCAGCGATGTTCTCTGGAGAGGATCTGGACTTCACTGTCCTCAAAAGAATGTCCTTTGTCCTTTTTCTTTGACCTAAAAACCTAGTCCAGTTGATTTTTCTAATTTTTTTCAGCTTACTATGACCTGGATGACTGAGAATCTGCATGGACCTCTTAAACTGTTGGACTATTTGCTCACGCAGTTGTTCACAAAGTGATGAACAGCGCCCCATCCTTGCTTGTGAATGATTGAGCCTTTTGGGGTGCTCCAAACAGGTATTTTTTGAGCATTCCTCAACTCTTCCAGTCTTTTATTGCCCCTGTCCCAGCTTATTTGGAACATGTTGCAGGCATCAAATTCAAAATTAGTGAATATTTGAAAAAAGCAATTACGTTTATCAGTTTGAACATTAAATTCAGCCCTGACCTGTGCCTGCTTCACACACACTGAGTGTCCAGAACTGCAGCACACAGCTTGAGAGTGTGTGTTTGACTTTGCAGCAATCAGTGTCGTTATGTAACTGTACATATTTAAAAGACACCACCTGGAATTTCTTTGAAGGTGATTGTGTAAAGAGCACAGTGATAAGTATGCAGAACATTTTATATTTACATCCTGTATATTCTGACATCATGAGATATAAATTGCACTAAGGACTCAAGGTCTCAGTAATTTATAACTTTAAAGAACATAAACCTTCCCAGAACTTTACATTTGGAGTAAAAAGCCAGTGCACAAAGCATGAGGTCCACAAACCCAAGTCAGCAAAGCCCTCCTCCATCTACTGGCACAAACCAGCACAAGGGGAACAACGCACAAACATTTCAACTCTGCCTTCTTCATTGTTCAGGCATAGCTGAAACACTGATCACTTAAACAGATAATGATGCTGCTTTTTAAAAACTTTTACAAATGTGCTTCACTGTTTTAAAATCATCAGGAGGTGTGAAGCACACGATGGTGAGCTCACGTCTGATTTTTTTCTCAAGATTCGAAACAACACACAATAGCATATCCTGGGCAAAGAAGGAAGCTTTGGGTACAATAGTCATGACAGAAATGTGTTGTTTTTTTTTAAAAAAAAACAACCCTTCTGTCATATATGAAATATCAGTATACCCTATCTACACTGAGCTTTAAGTCTCATCCATTTTCAATTCTCACTCATTATATATAAAACACTGTATCCCAAGTATGGCCCTCACACACATCTGAATATATATAAACTAAATACAAGAGGATGAAAACAAAGAAATAAAGAATGGTCGATACCCGACATGTTAATTAACTGAATGTTGACACATTAGTCAAACATCAGGAGTGTGTGAGTGTGTGTGTTTATGGGTCAGTATACAGTATGCAAAACCTACAAAACAAAAGTAATTCTGTGATGTTGTGAATATTATGCAAGTCTGCAAGGGAATGTAAGATTGCTGGGGTGATGATGGTGTGGGCAATCTGTACGTAGTAATATTGTAATATGTTAGATTGCAATCTAATGAAAACCACTCAGTTACTGGTCTAGAGAAGTAGGAGGAGAGTTTTACCAAGAATAAAACACGTTAACTGATCTGTCACCCTGACATCTGTAGTTATTAAGTCCTTTGAAAGACTGGTGTTGGCCCACCTGAAGGACACCGTAGACCCCCTGCTAGACCCCCTGCAGTTTGCCTACCGGGCAAACAGGTCAGTGGACGATGCAGTGAACATGGCACTGCATTACATCCTGCAGCACCTGGACTCCCCAGGGACCTATGCACGGGTCCTCTTTGTGGACTTCAGCCACATCCAGCACCCAGACAATAAGCACAGGTGCCCCCCAGGGATGTGTGCTCTCCCCACTGCTGTTTTCACTCTACACCAACACCTGCATCTCTGTCAACCTCCTAAAGTTTGCTGATGACACAATGGTCATTGGTCTCATCCAAGACAGTGATGAGTCAGCCTACAGACGGGAGGTTGAGTAGCTGGTCCTGTGGTGTAGCCACAACAACCTGGAGCTGAACATGCTCAAAACAGTGGAGATGAAAGTGGACTTCAGGAAGAACCCCCTCACTATACTTGGCAGCACTGTATCAGCAGTAAAGTCCTACACGTTCCTGGGCTCCACAATAACCCTCAGTGCAATACCTGTAAATATACCTCGTACAGATTATAAAGATCCATACAGGTTTTAAGTACTCTGTTTTATTCCTGCTTATGCCATTTCACAATGAGCATTCCTTTGTCTGCATTGTTTACTGCCTGTTTGTTGCTTCTTAATTCTGCTTATTTTGTTATATTACACAGCCTTATGTTGGTTTACTGTTTACTTGCCCCTCGCATGGGAATATGTACATGCACATTGAGAGCCGATGTACCAAAGTCAAATTCCTGGCCAATAAAGCAGATTCTGATCTAGATATTTACCAACAGTATCCTTTAAAACACAGTTTTAACAATTCACCTTGAGAAATTAGACAAAATGAACCACAGTTTAACTTGAAGCAATGCACAATAATCACAGATGAGATTGCCTAACCCAGAGTACAGCATAGCCACTCCATGTTTAGGAGCTGACGGGCGCTCAGGAATGTCCCGTAGATGATGTTAGTAGAATGAACTTCGATGTCAGTAAAACACAATTAAAGGAGGCTTCATTTGGCTATAATCAGTGACAGTGCTCATACACATGAAAGGTTGAAGGCTCAAGTCTTGAAAGTCACTGCATATGTCCAATTTAAGGCAAATCTTTAAGTGTACATTATTGTGAACTGTCAATTATTAAGCTATCAAATGGTTCTGATAATGACTTTATAGATCTTGTTGAACTCACATGTGACATGGAACATGTCAAACTATCAAAATGCAGATACAAACTAACACTGTTAGAGAAAATGGGAACTCCTTCAGTCAGAAGCAGCTATTTATTAGAATAAAAGACTTTGGAGCATTTCTTTTAAAGAAATACACTTCCTGTTTAATACAAAAGCCACAAGTAAAGTCACTTAAAACATGGCAAAACACACACACCTGTCATTCAGAGCATTCCCACAAAACAATTAAGTTAAACATTTGGTGGGTTGATTTGATTTGTTCATTAGCACAAATCAAAACAGGTAAAGCAAACTTTGACAAACTTGATCTTGCTGAACATACAAAGCAAGTTTTATGTTCACAGTAGATTTATTTAGTTTAATAGTTGCACAAGATTGCAGTTTGGGGGAAAAAAAACAAAGACAAATACAACAAGAGAACACACCCAAATGCTTTGAACAATACTTAGATCAGCCTGATCATTCCCTTATATTTAGCCCTTCATTGCAACAGAAGCATCTATTTAACATCGACTAATTTCATATTCTGTTACTCATCCTTCATAGATCAGGTGAAAACATAGGATGATATGTCACTTGTTTTAATATATTGGGTTTTTTTTTTTTTTTTTTTAAATGTGATGCTGTGAACTGAAAAACAATCTGTCAGAATTCAGTTTCACTATTTCCATTTTTTCAAAAACCAAGTTTACCTGGACTAAAACCACTAAATTAATTCCATTGTCAACTAAAAGACTGAAAAGATTTCTTAAGGACATCTTTGTGCTGCCTTGCTCATTTATCTCCAAGTGCTGCTTGCAAAGTTCAGTTACAGGATATGTCTGATAGGTATCCATCATTTGTGCTTCGAAAGCTGTTGACAGTAGAGGCAGTTCATGTGATTCTTTCAGATTTTTTGCAGAGTACGTCCTGCAGCTTTTAATAACTTGGAGGGAATGAATATGCAAATACACAAGTATTAACATCGAGTCTTTTTAAATAATGTAAACATATACATCTTATATGAGGTCAGAGCATTGATCCTCTTATCTGTTTATATAAAAAAAGAACAAATATTACTGGAGCATCGTCCGGATGTTCTTCGGAGTGGACTCGTCATTCAGGTGTTTTGTGGTGAATCTGAGAGTAAACAAAGAGCAAAGGGTTAATTATTGGGACCTTTTATATAAACAAAAACAGCGAGGCAGTCTGAGGCTCCAATGGACCCATCAACACTAAGAATACATCTCTCTTCATGCCCCACAAAAACATGTTAATATGGTGAGAGGGTTTTTTTTAAGCTTAATAATTTGGTCAGGAAAAAAACGCTGTGCAGCAACGCTAACATTAAGTATGACAGCGCAAACAGTATAGGTTAACGTTGTTGACAACTAATGATTCTGCAAAGGTCTTTGGTGACCATATGGCACAACCCAGGCCTTAGATGTGTCTTGCATATACAAAATCATCTAAGCCCACTTTATACAAACACTAAAATACATGGTGGGAAAGTTTAACACCAGGTCGCTTCCCTCAGCTAAGGGATTTTTCTGCCCATCAGATTTTGGGACAGTTCTAACTTTGGTGTGAAGGAGATAAAGTTCTGTTCTTATGAACTATTGCTCAGCGTCTGTCATGTCTACAGCTTTCTTGATTAACTTTCAAACTAACAATGAAATCAGCATTATTCCAAATGCCCGCAGCAGGCTTTCATGGTCAAGCAGCGCAGTCATATTATGATGGCCACGTTATCATGGGAATATTACTTTTATAGCATTATGGGGAAACAGACTCTCTGAGTGCTGTCTAGTAATAAATAAATACAGTATATTCTTTTGGCATTTTCTCTTTATTTAAAAGCAACGGGCAGAGAACAAAGGTCCTACTGGAGTCACACTGGGAATGCTGTGGTTCTATGTAATGCTGGATGCTCCATCTCCTTTATATTTAGATATGCACATAGATCAATGTCTTCAAAAACCAAACAAACTAATATAAATATATATATCTACATGTTGTTCTACAAGTAAATTCAAAATTCTGTAGACAAAAAAGCACTGGAACAAATCAGACATGCTTCCACAATGTTCACTGACATACACAACCTTTCATAACAACTCTGGTAAGAATAGGGCTTGGTGTCGCTTGGGCTTTTCTTATTACCGGTGCTAAAACTATACTTTGAAAAAGGTGCCAGTGCCTAAATGGTACCAGAACTAATACTTGAAGGGGAAAAAAAAGCATCAAACCAGACCCTAAATTTCATAATTCGAAGGGCAAGGCCATTTGGCCTTTGAATTTCATACAAAGGTCACTTGACTGGGCACTAAGGCTGAGACAAATGACATGGTGTATACAGTGGGTACGAAAAGTATTCAAACCCCCTTAAATTTTTCACTCTTTGTTATATTGCAGCCATAGGCTAAAATCATTTAAGTTCATTTTTTCCTCATTAATGTACACACAGCACCAAATATTGACAGAAAAACACAGAATTTTTGACATTTTTGCAAGTTTAAGAAAAACTGAAATATCACATGGTCATAAGTATTCAGACCCTTTGCTCAGTATTTAGTAGAAGCAGCCTTTTGAGCTAATACAGCCATGAGTCTTTTTGGGAATGATGCAACAAGTTTTTCACACCTGCATTTGGGGATCCTCTGCCATTCCTCCTTGCAGATCCTCTCCAGTTCTGTCAGGTTGGATGGTAAATGTTGGTGGACAGCCATTTTCAGGTCTCTCCAGAGATGCTCAATGGG